ATGGGGCTGAGGACAGAGGGAGTGCACCGAGAGGGACACTTATGAAATGCCAGGAGAGAATAACCACCACAGTTTGAATGTAAGGCTGTTTCATGGCCGCTGAGGTTTTAAGTTTAATACAGACTGCTGCGATTGTCTACTGTCTTGTGGAAAGATGATGGCTGACACATTTGCTCCAATCCTTTCAATATGCTTTGCTTGGTGTTTTTTTATTTTTTTAGACCTCTGGTCATCCAGTTGTGGCAAGTAGTGCATTTCACCAAGCTGCATCAGCACACTCATAACTTTTGGGCAACCTTGACATCATTGTGCCATAAATGTAACTGACAGGCTGGCAAGCTCCTCCTGACTTGTACTCAATCATAACTATATCTCTGTCCACATGGAGGACACCAGCCGCGGTTCAGCTGCATGGCTTCCCTTTGGAAATGTTGTATGACACAAAATTATTACACTAAGTAAACATTGTTTATGTCATATCCAATTATCTCCTTGTTTTAGACAAAAACTTGAGCATTAAAAATAAGCATATCCTGAGGACTAAAATGAGTTAGGTTATTAAAACCTTGTTTTTTAAAGCAATAAAAACGATTTTGTTCATGTAAACCTCTTAAAGCTTTGCTTAGTGTTTAATACAGCTAAAGAGATAATTGCAAAGCACACTTTATTGCAAGCTTCCTCAAATCCGGCCCTTAAGGTCTGGTGTCCTACAACTTCTAGATGTGACTTCAACACAATGTCTAAATTTTCTCCTCACTCTGCAGTCTGGTTCTCAAGAACCTGCTAATCATGTTATTATTTGACTCAGTTGTATTGAAGCAGAGACAACTAAAAAGTACAGGACATCGGACCTTGAGGATTGGAAATGAGGAACCCTGCTCTATAGTGAGCAATTTTAAAAGCCTGACAGGGCAATAAAATTTCACATGACACAGTGAGTATGATAGGCTCCTATCTGAAATTCGCTGAATTGTCCCTATTACACTACATTGTTTATGTTCACATTAAATGGCAAAGTTTTCAAAAAACAAAAAAAATCTAAGCACAACAAATCCAGAGATCTTTCAAATGTTGCAGGGCCTGCTTCATTTTCATACAAAGAAGGAGTTGAGTGACTATTGAAAACTTATTTTAGCATATATAAAACATTGTAGTCAAGTCTAATAAAGAAAAAAAAAATGTTTTGAATGGTAACATACCAACTACACAAAATTTAAACCAGAACTTTAAATTTTACTCACACATCTGCATTAACTCAAAGATGAGTTCAATCCAAACACTGTGGTTCCAATGGATCTGGCACATCCTGCCTGGCACACTGTTCCATTAGGAAAGATTTCAGAGTGGAGCGCCTCGCTGGGCTTGGATTCAGATCAGTTTTGTGTGGCGGATTTGTGTGGCGTTGTATATAGTACAGTATACAGTACATTAAATTGGTTATTTAGCCAGTACTAACCTAATCCCCATTTTATTTTATTTTTATTTATTTTTTTAGAATTTCATGATCATATTTATTATGGCTGTCAATTAACAGTATAAATAGTATGTTATCACATAAAAGGTAGGCGAATTGGATCCACAGTCTACACATGTTGTCTTATCCTTGTTAACTTGACTCGAACCACTTCACTCTTCATCAACTGACTTATTACCTGAACAATTTGCTCTGGATTGAAGAGTTTGAGCAGCAGGACGCAAAAATGGAAGAGCCCAATATTTTAAAGAAGTGGCACGTAGCAGTCTGGGATGCTTCAAAAGTGCGCTGAAGTGTAGCCGGTGGTACTGCTCTGACTTACTGGCTGTGATGAGCTACAAACGTATGGCACAGCAGCACCGCAGAGTTTACACGTTGCTTCCACAAACAGTTGGAGCAGCAGGGGTTAGTGTCAAATCACAATAAAGACTTGGATTAAAAATATATATACTGGAGCACCAACTAGTACTAAGGCCCCGTCCACACGAAGACGAGCCCTGGCCTAAACGCACAAATTTTTCACCAAACCAGCCTCTCATCCACACGAAGCCGGCGTTTCGGGGGTCTGTAAACGATCTTTTTTTTATTCAGCCTTCAGAGTGGGAAGATTTCGAAACGCCGTTTTCGCGTTTCCATCTTTACGCTCTAACCGCATATTTTTTTTACACGCATGCGTCATAGCGTCGCCTCTAAACACGCATGCGCGACCAGTATCACAACAACAATGGCGCCGTTGCTGCTAATGCTACTCACCCTGCTGTCGGGCTTACAACAGAATCTTCTTCTTCTGGAATATCTCCAGGAAGAACAGAGCAATATCGACGACATAGTTCAGCACCTGAATTTGACTTAACCACGAAAATGGACCCGCAGGGCAACCATGTATAAATATTAGTGCGCATGCCCAACATTTCGTCGCTTATTTTTGCTTTGGCACCACAGCGCCACTTACAGGCCTGGCATACATTTTGCAGCGTTTTCATGCATTCGTGTGGACGCTCACATTTATTTTACGTCTCCGTCTTTACGGCAAACGTTTTGGAAAATATCAGCGTTTCATGTTCGTTTTGACTTCGTGTGGACGGGCCTAAATTCAAGTTTTCTTTATCTGTTTTGGGGGTTTTGTGTTTTATTTTATGTTGGGAAACCAATAGTTGTCGAACAAGTCATGTCCACAAATAAGGAAAATAGTTTTTAGCAGGTGTAAAATTCACCAGACGTTATTAATCACATCATCACCTAATGACTATTGCTCATCTGCATTAAGATGGAATTGGAGCTTTAGGAGAGATAGATATGTGTTGAAGTTATAGGTGATCAGAAAAAAAAAAAAACCCTCTAATCAGACCCAAGCTGTACAAAGGCCCATGGTTATCCCAAATTACTTTTTTTTATTTTCAAATTGATGTAATTTTTAGGGAACTATACATTTTCAAAAAGTCACCAACTTCACACAAAATTCCACCCCTAAGTACACTTAAATATTTCAATGAAATAAGAGGGAACATGGCTAAATGGCTCTAATGAGCCCTCCAAAACCCAGCCAGACCATGTCGGTTCTTGAAGTTTTGGTCAAAAGATAGACCCCTCCAAAACAACAAAAGTTATTTTTCGGGTACCAACAGGTTTTTGCACATTTTGGGTCACATGATCATTATTGACTGTTTTGTAATGGCCAAAACTAAAAACATTGATGGTAATTCCAGTGGTCTTTAGGTGTTGGTTACAAATTTGCTCAATATCCTCTAAAAGCATGAGAAATTAAATCTATCTACCGGTAAGTAGTAAGATTTTAGGCATGTTAAGGTCCTAGCCTTTCCTTGTCATGAAAAACATAAAAAACTCTGTAACCTTTACACAGATGAAGGTAATTATACAAAAATGGCTATGATTGGTCAATGTTAGATGTTTAATGACTCTATGTGGTCGTATGCTGACATCGTCAAAACCCCTGGGTACAGAAATTAAATTTTTTTTAAAACTTCTAAACATTGCATCAAAAAAAGAGTTGGCAAGTCTAATTACAGAACATTGTACCCATGTATCATACCATATATTTTCTATAATGATGGATGGATGGATGGATGGATGGATGGATGGATGGATGGATGGATGGATGGATGGATGGATGGATGGATGGATGGATGGATGGATGGATGGATGGATGGATGGATGGATGGATGGATGGAGTCTTTGAATTTTATATCATTCAAAGTATAGTGGTGAATTTTTAATGTAACAAAACAAAGCTGATGATTAACAAGCAAATATGATGTGATATTAATTATCCTTTGATCTCGTCAAAACAGAGAACAAGGCCCTGATTTTTGATAAGGAGCGATAAATTGCATGTAAAAAATGAATTGCTGGTTCAGCTTGTAGGCTTGTTTCAGGTTATCTGAAAAGGTGGTGTGCATAAGATAACAAATCAGTTTCTAATTAAATGGATAAATTGTGTGTGCTACTAGCAGTTTGGGAGGGGCTGTAAAAGAAAGATGAAGTTCTAAGCTGTTGGAGGTAATAATGATAATGATTTTAATAACAACAGCCCCAGGAACCAATGCCTCCTTTCTGAATGCAGACATTTTGCATGCAAGTTTGGACCTCATTTTCACAAAAATTGCTAAAGGCAAACAAGAGATTATAAAAAAATGAAGAGAGAACAACATTAAATACACTTTTAAATGTTGGACTGTTCTCAAATGAATTGAAGTTACCTATTGTAGTTGCTTTGCAGCAGAAAATCTGTATATAACAGAATTTCAACAGAATTTGCCTATAAAGGCAAACAGAGTCAGTATTTATTGTCAGGATTATAATCAATAGAAGAACTAAGTGAGATAGAATCACATTACAAATGTAAACCATCTCATACTTATGAAATATCTTTTCTTTTACAGCACACATATTGAAAGGATTTTAACAACATCAACATAGAATTTAATGGGGAATAAAGACCTGCAGATTTCTACTACTATTAAATAACTCAGATCAATATCAGGAGGAACAAAAAAGAAACTTATGACATCTGTTTCATTTATTTATAAGATTTTCCTATTAATATGCTCTCCATTGTAGAGTTGACACCGGACTTTGTTGTTCACCCCCTCCTATTCTAACCAACAATTACAAGGTGTTTAACTTCAAGTAGTTTTTTTTCATCACCATTTTTCAAACCAGGTATTAACTTTATCATTTTTCTGAGCATACACAATCTTAAAGGGACTTTGGAGCAACAGTACCTCCAAGCATTCGGTTGTTTTCCCTCTGTGCTTATTCGTATGGCTCATAACAGGAATACACATATGACTGCAGACTACAACTCTAGCTTTTATAGTGAGATAAGTGCTTGTCTGAACATTAAAAACACAGATTGTGTTAATTAGTACGGCTTGCAGATGCAGACAGGTTTATTATATGAATTCTATGTAAAGAAAATATTGTATGGTATTTTACACCTTACTTTATGTCATCAGCTATAGCTAGTAAAGAAGGGGAAGAAAAGGAAAGATGAAATAAAACTTACATGTTCTATAAGTTCTCTAACCATGCCATTCCACTGGCCCTTGTCATCCTGAAAGCCATATTTCCCATCTGGCACCAGGCGAATCTCATACGTAAATCCCAGGATTTTGGCCAGCTCTTTCAGCAAGTCGATGCAGAATCCTTCAAAACGGTCGTTCCCAACCAGTGCCTTGTCAGACTTCTTAAGCATGACATATGGCTCCTCCTGCACAGACCCAAAAGATCAAATGAGAAGCAATGGTGAGGTCAGCTTTTTCAATTTGTTTCAGCACATGCACCTAATTGAAGCAAAGCGATCTGTGCTGACGAGTTGCTGTAGCACTTAACAGATAGTGACAGCAGATTCAAGTTCGGTGTGTGGATACAAAGAGACCTGGAACATCAGAGATGGCTGACTTTCTCCCTTACAGAAACTTAAGGTACCAGAATCCTAAGCTACAGTATATATGGTTAAGACAGACAGCAGAAAATATATCATTTTTATTTAAGCTATTATTCTAACGAAATATAATACATTTTTTTTTATTATTTGATACCTATTACTATCTTCCTGTCAGATATATTGCCAATCCTCTAGTGAATTTCAAGACATTTTGATTAATTTATGTAAAAGTGTACTAAAACCTATTGTAAACAATAGCCAGTTTTATAATTCACTAAGTGACCTTAGAGGCACAGTAATTGATTCTCTTTTGAAGGTGACCTCTTGCATTGTGGTTTAGAGTGAGGGTAGGTTAATGTATAAAAGAGAGACATTGGGAGAATAAAAGGTGGAGTCAAAGAGGATTAAAAAAACGAAACGCAACCAGAAAAGTATTATCTTTATTTAGTTAAACATAAAGCAAAAAGTTTGTCTTAGTCAAAGACCAGAGCTCACACATTATGCACATTTTGTAATGAAGATATCAATTACAATTATGAAAACAGAAGCAACCACCTAGACATCTGGCCTAAAAAATGATGTTTACAAAAGGTCAAACCTTTTCAGTAAGCTGTGCTCATATTTATCAATAATATTGCTTCATTAAAATCAATTCAGTCTTGTCATCACTGTGTTTAAAATGGTGTTGCATTGAGAAACGCAACACTAAGCCTTTTTTGTCACATTGGGGGAATTTAGGTGAGGCATTGAGAGGTAGACAAAAAAAAAACATAAAACACATGATTCTGCCCGTTTCTAATTCTCTACTACAAGGTTTTCCCTAAATAATCAAGGTCATCAGGTCAACCTGCGCTCTACTGGCAGAAGTGCAATAAAGCTCATAATGCACCTGCTCTCCTGCCCTTATATGCAGCTCTCTGGCAGATAGACTGTCAGAATATCGATAAACAAGCGTGAGCAGATGTCCGGCATTTCTTCTTTGATCCGCGGAGTCCTTGTTTCTGCCTTACCCATACCAGACAACTTGGAGCTTTCTAATCGACAGCGACCATGTTTCTGCCTCCTGACCTGTGCCTCTTGCTTCTCTCTAAATCCATAAACCTGAATCTGCCTCCATGGTTCTGACCCTAGTTCTGGTCTCTGGTTCTCGGCTTTCTTACAGATCCTGCCTTTGAATCCTGTTTTCATGGTTCTGACCATTATTCTGATAAACAGTCTGGAGAGAAGACTGCTTCGGAAGTGGTTTGTTACCTCTGTTGTTTTCCAACCTTTAATCAATTTTAGATTAGTCTGATTCTCTGAGCATCTGACATCCTTTGACACCATCCTAACCTTCTCAGAAAAAGAATCAAAAGTCAGCCTTTGCAGCTGTGTCCCGTGCCAATCAAAGTTCTGCCCTCACCTATTCACTCACTAATGTTGCTCTGCTTTCAGAGGTTCCTGATCCCTCTACTGAAGATTGGCTGCCATTTACTACCTGGAGTTTTAAATAAAACTTTTAAACTGTCTGTCTTTTCCAGTCCTTTGATTTTCTAGTTGTTACAATATTATCTGGTCAACATGAACCCTTCTTGAATGATTTGCTGTTTCCCAAGGATCACCTGACTTAAAAGAGACTTTGTTTCCCAGTCCTAATTATGGATACCCTGAAACCTTAACTTAACCCAAAAACAAAGTTGGATTTTTGCTTTTATTGTGGAGGCAAGGACAGTGTCTTGATGTCCATTAAAATATCAGACCCAATCGAGGTGGGAACTCTACTGAGCCTAAATCTTTCTCAGTCTCCTCGTCATTCACCTTTTCTTAGCTGACCTTGTGGTTTATTCTGCTACTCACTACATTTCTGTGTTCATTAGCTCAGAGGCGGACACAGAACTTATGGTTGTCAGCTTTGCCCAAAATCTGAGAGTCAAGCTTCTCCCAGCACCCTCCTCCAACAATGTCCTACTGTATCTTTGGAGGGCCATCACCTCAACAAGACCAACCAAGTTATTGAGAAAATTTGCCAGATTATTGGCGGTAATCATCGTTAGGAAATCTCTTTTGTCCTAAGAACTTCCCCACTGCTACCTATACTGTAACTCTTGGTCCCATTTGGTTCAACAAACACACATCCCATATAGACTGGAGAAATACTGTACGGAGGTTCCAGAGCAGTCAAGCTTGCATTTAGCCACCTGTCTTCCGTCTGTCTCTCCTGTCTGTTTCTCTCCCTATCTCTGAGACTGATGTGGAGGAGAATTATCCTAATTTTCCAAGGTTCCAGTGGATTACCACAGTCACACAGAGGTGTTTAATAAGTCTCATGTCACTCCATTACCACCTCATTGGTGCTATGATTGTTCTATTGACTTCCTCCCAGATACATCTGCCCTAGGTGGCACCTTTACACCTGGTGTGCTCCTGAATATTAGTCCATTAAGAAATATGAGGACAAGTCCCTAAAAGCAAACTTCATTCAACTGCTTTATTCTGCTGATGTGGGATTCCTTTTTTTTTTGTTGGAACTAAGAATTGGTCTCCTTAACCATGTTTTGAAGTTTTCAGTTCAATTCAGTTTATTTATATAGCGCCAATTCACAACACATGTCATCTCAAGGCACTTCCCAATTCAACCAGATCTTACAGTCAAATTGATTCAAAGTTTTCTATCTAAGGAAAACCATTTGATTGCATCGACTCAATGACTCGAAGGCAGTCCCTCACACTAAGCATCCTTGTAGCAGCAGTGGAGAGGAAAAACTCCCTTTTAACAGGAAGAAACCTCCACCAAAACCAGACTCAGTGCAAGGGACCATCTGTAGAGGCCGTCGGGTGTATATGGAGACAGAAGAAGACATAGAAAAAGAGGCAGAGATGCAAAAGCAACTGTAAACTAGCTCCACAGGCGGCCCGGTCAAGGAAACACACAGCTATAGAGGGATCAATGACTTCACTGTTATGAACATATACCCTCTCCCTCTTATAAAACACTGCTTTAGATCAAATTCAGGGACTAAATGTTTTACCAAGTTGCTCCCATGTAATTCCTATCACCTTCTTCATATCAGAGAAGGACATTAATACAAAACTCCTTTCAATACTCCTATTGGTAATTATGAATATCTGGTCATGCTCTTCAGCCTGACTACTACCTCTGCTGCTTTCCAGTCCCTTGTTAAGGATGTGTTAAGAGATATGGTCGGACACTTTGTTTACCTTGACATCTTGATCTATTCCAAGGTCCTTGAATCTCCCAAATGTAATGTTTGATCTGTTCTCCTTTGCCTTCTCTAAAATAGTATTTTTTGTTAGAGTGGCTTGATTATTTCCCCCAATCAAATCATGATGGACACTGGTAAGACCACTACTGTTAAGGAATGGCCAACCCCCACAGATCGAAGCAATTACAGAGGTTCCTTGTTTTCACCTAATTTTTTTCCATCGGTTTATACTAAACTGTAATTAGGTCGCTGCTCCCCTTAATGCTTTCAGTAAGTTTTGCTGGAATCATCACGCTAATAAAGCTTTTTCATAAGTCAAAAATCTCTTCAAGTCTTCCCCGTCCTCCATTCCCCTGATCCAAAAAAACTATTCATAGTTGAATTCCACGCTTCTAACACAGGGGTTTGGGCAATTCTTAGTCACAGATATTCTGATGTACCAGCACCCCTCGTCTCTCACCTTTCTATGTTATTTTTAGATTTTTTTCACCAGTGTTAAAGATCCAACAAAGAGAGAACAAGGTTCCTACTACTTGTGATGTAGCTCTGAGGTGCCAATACACAGACTAGTCAATAATGCACAAAAAGCAAAACAAAATAATAATTGAGGGACAACAGATGCTTCACATGGAGAGGTTAATAATTAGAATTCCAAAGACTATGCAAAAACCATATGTCGTTTAAATCCAGTATACTGAGAAATGGTAAACACAATTGTGTGACAATCTTTACATTGACTTCCATAACTTCCTGTGGCCTAACTGTGACCCTTACCCTAAATCTAACTGTTACGGGGACATACCTAACTCAATCCAATCCTAAACTAAATTTACATCTTAGTCCTAAATGTAACCCCAGATACAAAATCAGCAATACCCTTTGTGGAGTTTCTATGGAATTATTTTTGTGTTTTTATTAAATTCATGAAAAAAAAAAATATCTGAAAGGGAAAATCATTTTTAAAGTAAAATTAGAAGAAAAAAAAAAGTCAATGCTGATAGTAATAACTAATGTTATTGGAGACTGAAGAAAAAGTTTTTAGAGAATATATTTTGTCATAGAATAAATAAATAATAAATTAATATTTGGAGAATGATTTCCAAGGGTAAAAAGCTTTCAGAATTTGCACAGAATTGACAGCTGAGCAGTGATATGTGGTACTTTCGAGATGAGCAAAAAGAACACACCTACACACACACACACCAAGCACACACACAAACATACATACATACATACATACATACATATATATATATATATATATATATATACATATATATATAATATAAGTATATATTATCACTTGATGAATGTCTGTAATCACTATATTGAAGCTAAAATGCACCGACTCTCCCTCTTTAAAGGAACTTGCAAATTCCATATACAAAATTACCTCTTAAATAGACAACAAGATACAGTATGAATACAATGAATTCAAATTGTTTGGCCAAAAACTTTGGTTGTCCAATTAACTTGATCAAAAACTTTGCTTGTTTAGTGAGAAGGCCATTACCATCTGTTTCTAGCTTTCCTGTTTATGCAATTCCCCAAGGTTTGGACTAAAATCAAAGTCTTTATACCAGCTCAACCCTTCCAGTCGCAGCATGAGCATGCACAACAAAAAGAGGGAGGCATGCTTGCAAAAAGGCATCACAGGCAATGGACTGCAAACAATTATTGTAAGAGGAAAAACACATTAAGTGCCCTAATCTCTTTTGCAAAGTTATCAGTATAAAGCTGTCAGATGTCTTGCTCATGCATCACTGAGAATCAGTGTGATGCAATTTCATTACACTACGAGGGGAGATTGATATTAAAGTATAAGCTCTCCTTAACAGTTTGAAAGTTTTATGTTCCTAAACTAATGATTCCCAAAGAAACTGCAAATGAAAAAGGCTGTCAGATACAGGAAAATATTTAAGAAGAGAGAGAGAAAAAACAAAAAACCTGCTTAACACCATTCTGGCATTAAATTATCGACTTGTACTTTCTAGTATTGTAGTTTAACATAAGATCACTTAAGTAGTTGTTCATTTTCTCGATACTGGGCCAGAATTAATATAGATGGCACTCGATAGGCAATAATTATTCCCTACCACAATCCTGCTTTTCATAATTATAGCTTTGTGGCACACTATAGGCATAATAACAGTGTTTATCGTTGTAACTTTAAGGGATGCACAGGGTAATGTCTGCCCCGTCACCTTGTGATAGGGTCTTCCACAGACACTAGCAGGCTGTGTGACAGTTAAGGAAAAACAACAGCAAGAATGATAATATGGGTCTAACACAGGCATTTTCAAGTTCTTTCTTTCTGAACATGCAGTTAATGCTCTCCTGAGGTCAGGAGGTCTATTTATGCTGTTTTGCTCTTTATTTTGAATGTTTTAATACCCACTGAGCCTACTTCCAGTTGCTACAATGCAGTGTTCAGCAAGAGTATTTTCCTGTGGTGAGAGCAGACAAATATTGGAATGGAATTTTTCTCAATCACAAGCAAAGAGTATCAGGCCTTCCCCAGCTTATTAAGTAGACTTGTGAAACACATGGTAGCAAACTCGAAGCATTAAAAATTTATAAGTACTAATGAAGATTTTCTTATATTCAAAAAGAAAAGAGAGAAGATTGTCTTATATTCAAAAAGAAGAGAGAAGATTTAGGCGACTTCACATGAAGCATGGATGGCTACTCAGTTGAGCTCTCAAATTTTAACATACTGTACAACCATCTATCTGATTACAGAGAATTTGTGCAAAGTAATAGTGTGAAGTAAGGTGCACACTTCACAGAAGTTTTTAACTCTCTGCAGATGCCTTTAATGGGACCCTTAGTTTAGCTACAAAACAGCACGTAGAGAGCGATGGAATGGATTTCTGTGGCCATGTTGCTTCATACAAGTGCAAACCAAGTGCTATGAAAACTGTAGGACATGGTGATGTACAGACTGGCACCAAACGGCTTTGTAGAGGGACAGAGAAGTTAAGGGATGGAAAAAGAAAAACACAACTCCTCTGTGTGTAATCAAAATCACTCTCAGTAATCAAAATAATCTGGTTTGAGATACTGGCCAGACTGCAAGTTACCAAGTGTAGATTTGCTGTGCCCCTCTTTTTTTAGACTATATATTTGGACCTTTAAATCCACTAAAAGTAACTTTATATAAAGCAGCACAAAACGCTTTTTTTTTTTGATAATTCTATGCTCCCAAAAGTGTAGAAACATAATCTGGATCACTTGAGTTCCAAAATGATTTTGCACCAGTGCACAAAGTGCAGTAAGGTGCATACATTAGCAGCCCCTGAAAATGACCCTTCCTAGTCGAAAGCCAGTCGAATGGCAGCCCACCTCCTTCCAACTCCCTGCAAAAACCCCTCCAACTTCCAGCCACTGCAGTGACCCCCTCTTGCATCTTTTGTTTAATCTGACTCCACCCTTTCACTGAATTAGAGGGTCTGACCAGCAGATGACGCTTCTCTTTAGAGCTTAATGTCCACAAATCACAACAGAAAGAATATTTCAGTACAAATATGTTTAAAAGGGAATTTTAGGGGAGCAGCCAAGGAACAGCCAAGGGCTCATCAAGTAAAGTGGGGACATTTTGAATGGCTGTGAGTTTGTTTAGGAGAAAGTTGACAAGCTTGTACAGAGCTCTAAGCCTGAACACAATAAAGCACCACTGGAATTAATTATAGTGGATATAGGGATCTAGGCCATCTAGTCCAATGCCAGTTTTAGACATCAAGTGATCCCTTAAAAGAGAGTATTTCAAAACCATATTGAAAGCCTTTCCAAAGGATTATGTGTTGTCCTATCTTTGCATTTTCAGTGACTATAAAGGAAACTGTCATTGTAATCATGGCAATGTAGTGTAACTGGGGAAGCGGCACATGAAATATCCTGTAGTAAATTAAAGTCAACCTGAATTCAATTATTTTATTAGTAATAAAGGTGAAAAGAGTTAATAATAGGAGTCATGTGACTCACCAGAATAGTGGTGATGACAAGGGAACGGTTAGCAAGGGAATCAGTGATGTTCATCCCTTTTCGCTTTGGCACTTCTGTGATGTTAAGACCTCCTGATGCACTCCACTTCCCCACCTGTAGAAGATGAAAAGTGTGCAAGCTAAGTGTTCCATGTCTGTCGGCAAGCTATGACCTCCACAAACTCCCCCGCCAACCATCTCCTGCATTAGTGGCAGGTTGAACACATCTCCTGCAGCATTAAATGATTGGCTGAGTCACCTTTTATCAGCAGGGTAAGGTGATCTGCAAAGTATGGTGTAGTTTGGAATACACACTGAAAGGCAAAATAAAAAAAAACTGTGCTGAGTAAATTACAGAATGGAAAAAAAAAAAATTACTGGATATTGATATATCAGAATAAAAAAAGTTCTGTTTGACTGGGATGATGATCAAGAAGGCTTATAAAATACCTAATACCGTAAATAACATATTACAAAACATGTTTGCATTTATGCTTTGAGTATTCAGTCCGAGTTATGGTTTCATAAATTAAATGTAACTGTCATTATCAGGAAAATGCATTATTTAAATCTTTTTTCAAATAACTTATAGAAAACGCAGAAGAAGAAACAACTGCTTCCATTCGGTGAATAATTTTTCTCTACATTTTTTCTCTGCAGAAAGATAAACGAAGCGATCTGAGCAAATCAAAAGAAGTTACACATGCTAGAAGCCTTAAGGCAAATATCTCTGCACATTGTAGAAGCACACTTTGGAACATATCATTAGCACAAATAGTCCTGTGGCTGCCTATAACACTCTCTGTTTGCAAGTCGAGGTTTCCACCAAGCCATCCTCTGTTTCCTCTATTACTACACTCTGAGCTTTTAATATTCACTGGGGTTTGTGCTTGAGGTGAATTCATTTAAGGATGCTCGCCACCCAACACACACAGACACAAGCACACACAAAGCATGAAAAATGCCTGTTAATGTCCTCCCTGGCTAATCCAGAGAGAGGCATATGCTCTAATTTGAAAACCACATTAGTTACAGCTTGTCACACAACCAAAGCAGACTCCAGGAGAGAATTTAAAAATATCAGGATGCTTTCCACTTAGCAAAACTCCTTCTAATAGTACCCAATTACAATTAGTTCAATTCATTTAACATGATTAGCATGAATTAGTCGATTCAAAAGTTATTTGCTCATGCAAACACACAAAGAGCATTATATTTAATTCACCATCCTGGGCATGCTCCCGTCTACTTAAAGTGACACACTAAGAACCTGTTCATAAACTTAGGCTAATATTCTATTACAAGGGATTAGTTGAGAATAAAAAAGACCATATTTTAGCCGGCTCACCCAGTTAAAGCCGATTTTGTGGATATACAAGGAAGGAATGATAATCCAGCAATCTGCAGTATACAGTGGATCAACTCTAAAATGGCTGAGCATAGGATTTGCTCAATAATAATACGGCATCAAATATTTCTGTTAATTCTTCAGTTAAAATGCCTTTATACAGGACAAGGTGTCAGTGAAAAGGAGAGGAATTATTTCAAAGTTCAATTCTGAAGAGTTATAAACTGAAGAGCCTCTGCTATTATACTATGGAATCCTACGCCTTTAGGAAGTTTTAGAAAAAGACATAATGGGACTTATCCTCATTGGAGTCATTCATACTGTATGAAAGCCATTTAGCCAATAATATCTGTTGCAGTTGGCCTCCAGTAAAATAAAACATGATTTGTTCTACAATTTCAACTGTCTGGTTGTTGTTTTTCCTTTTTTTTCTGTCAAATGTGCTTATTTAGTATATTACCAACAAATACTTTGTTTAAGCATCACTTTAAATAGCACTCAGCGAGGTTGTGTTTAATACCCAAAAATGTACCCCGAACCAATTTACTACATGGTCGACTAATTTGTCCTTTTTACAAAAGGCAGCTTTCTTCCTTTTATGAAGCCAAATAAAAAAAAATAAATAAATAAAAAAAAACATTATCAAACATAGAATCCTAACATAAGTAATTTAGACAAACTGCAGGCCATTTATTATAGTAAAATACTATAGTATAATATAGCTTAAAACCAAAATTGATAACTCGTATATCCTGGCCTATTTTGATTAGGCATCAGGCTTTTTGCTTTCAGAAAAAAAAAAAAAATCATAATAACTGTATGGGGTAGGTTTTTCAAAATATATCAAATGTTTTGGTGATCTACATAATGGTCATAATAATTTTCATAAAGTCATTATATTCTGCTCATAAAGGCCAATTAGGAAAGCTTGTTATATTTGCTTAACTTTGTTGCAATCCTTCAATCATATATTGCATGAGGTCCATCAGCAGAAGACAGTTTGGTAACTTAGAATATATCTTTTAATCACAATCAACATCTTTTACAAAGTGTACCTTTTCAAGTCCATCCTCCTTCAGACTGATGATGTCCAGGTCAAAATCTGTGCGAAGGCCAGTTGTTTTGTTGAAGGACAATCTTCCAGTCAAACCATCCCAGTGAGACTGAAACACAACAATGCTGCATATTGAGAAAAACATTTCAAATATAATCAACCATATAGCACCTTTAATTCTTTTTGTATGGAACCTTTACACATCCATCCATTATCCCTATGTTAATCCATCCACCCATCAATACATCCATCCATATATCTATCCATCCATCCATCCACCCATCCATCCAATATACCCACTTAGCTGTGCAGAGTGACAACCATGCACCAGCATCTACAAATTAAGCCAAATTAGTTTACACTCAATTAAGCAGCGGTCATGTTTTTGGACTTTGTGGGGATGCCAGAAGAGCCAAGGCTGGGAATTCAAGGTTTTCTCAATTTGAAAAGTCCTGCAAATTTACCTCACATGACATGATGTTATTACCTTCATTTTATTTTTATATTCTTAACCTGACAACCGAAATGGAATAAATAAAATGATATGTTCTGCCCAGAAAACTGCCCTTAACTACATTTTATCTTTCTGTTGAAATAAATTCCCACCCACACATACACAGACCAAAAGCACAAAGACAAACTGCACAAGATGCATTTCCTTTTAATTACATTTTACATCCCAACGCCTCCAACACATTTTCCCTCCAGACTACGGAGTTAATTAGCAACCATCTTCTTTTGCTTGATTCCTCGTGAAGGGGAAAACACAAATGCCCCCTATTATGATTGCTTGATAACTGCACCCACCAGAAACAACTGCAAGTCCAAACAACAATTTGTTCTACTTACCTGTTCTTATCAAGCCATTTGCAATCTAATATGACTAGCAGATGATAGCCAATTTAAAATTCTTAAACAAAAATGCGATAAATGTACTTTTCTGTATAAAAAAAAAAAATAATAATAAAAAAAAAAAAACAGGCATCAATGTCACTCACATACAGCCACACATAAAGCCATAGTCTCTGATGTGCGCACTGGATATTTAAAAGTTCTTCAAACAGTTATTGAGTCAACCCTTCTAAGTCAACCCTTTGCACTTTACTAATAGTTAAAAACCCATAGTGTGAGAACCTCCAGTAGCTCTCTGTCCAGGCTGCATCTTGCCAGAACCTGTTGTGTAGAGATCGAACCTTCAAGGAGAAATCTGTTACACTCTATTTTTCAAAACCCTCCCATACCTCATTCCCTCTGGCATATTGCCATCGAGGTGGGAGGCATGTTCAAACAGCTTTAATCCAGAGAATGACATATACTATGCCTCAGCCGTATCACATCCTGAGGGCCAATTCAACCTTTAGAACATGTCAGACTCTGATCTTGAAGCAAGTGTAAATTAGCACCGAGTTAAAGTTTTATTACCAAACACATTTTTTTTAAAACACTTTTCTGCCTTCATTAGAATTAGGTGTATATACTGTAAGAGAATGTTTGCTTAGAATTTCCAGCAATAATTTGATGATTGCTTGTTTGACTTTATGATATTTTATGAACAGATAAATGCCAGACACTGTTTGTTGTACGATCATGTAAATATTATGTAACTAATATATTTCTGGCTCATAATCTGGCAAAAAAAGTGAATTGCTTCTACAACTTTAGACTATTATCATTTATTAAATTAAATCATGCATTTCACAACATGTATGCCTAACTATACAGACTTATTTAAATATGTGACATATAGGATACTATCCTGCTAGTCCTGATTTACAAATATTCTTCTACACTTTTACCACATCATTTGCTACAGTTATCACCTCCATCTCAGTAGATTTGTTCTAATAATGGAGCTCTTTCATATTGTCATTTACAATTGAAATATACTTATATAAGAGATCACTAATTCTATTCCAGGTAGAGAACTGCTCTGAGAAGTGGTATGACCATTTCCACCTAGGAAGCATGAGGAATCCTCATATCGTCAGTGCAAACTATAGTGGGCTGTTGTCTGAGCACCCAGGCAGTGTTAAGTTTAGTGGAGCAATTTGTTATTTGCTAAATTTATTTTTTAGTCATGTTTGTTTTTTGAAGGACAGGCAAATCTGACAAAAAAATCTAGAAAATCTGGATTATCATAACTCTAAGCAAACTATTGCAGTCTCCTTTTTTATTACATGGGATAATACATATTTTTCGAAGCTCTTGCCTGTTTCCCTATCCCTGAGTCATGAACTGAACCTAATATTCCATAAAGTATTTGCAAAAATCAGTTTAGTATGTCTCTATGAATCTGCAAAGGTATGTTGCTTTAGCATGCAATATGAGATATCAGTGTACACACTTAAAAACACCTTGAAAGCTGTGGTGAAGTGCACCAGAAGCACAACTACCATCCTGACAGGTTTCTTTTAGGGTGATTCATAGACCTGAGGAAAATTTTGAATGTGTGCAAAGGGACTGTTATCTTTGCTTGAGAACAGAGGGTGGATGAAAAGCAGAAATGACTCGAATCAGCCCACCTTAGGTATCTTTGCAGGTCAGACACAAATGGTACTTTGCTTCAAATTCACTGAAGCGAGCAGAGGATTTGGGCTATGCCAATTTCAAGCACTGTATTGCTTGAATGTATGTGAAGATATTGAGCCAGGGGTTCCATATAGAAAGATCAGGCTCATCTCTGTCAAAGATAACCCCTGGTAAAAGGAAATACTTGGAAGATCCACAAGCTAGATCCATAAAACGTATTCACTTCACCTATGCTACCTCAAAGCTGGTGGAGCCAGAAAAAGTTTTAGCCTTGATCCCGGTCACGATTACCACTGTCCTAATCATAAACACAGGCAAATGTTTACCTATTTTAACCTATTATTTATTAGTCTAATATGAAGTCATCTAACCAAAGTTAGATGTGATGTACTAAGTCTGTTTTAATGCATAAAGTTTTTATTTTTATTTTAGACAGCTTAAAAAAGAAAAAACACAAACAATTATCTGGCCAAGAGATTTGTCAAGGGATAAACTGAAGGCCTGAGCTTTCTTCTGTTCAGATTGAGCTGAGGTGACTGGTGACTAACTAGCCAGTCAGTCATTTAAAACATTTGATCTTTTTTTTTTTTTATGCAAAAAAATACTAATCAGAGGAACGTCTGACAGCAAGTCATGTTTATGAATATCAATTACTGTAGTTCTATGATAAAAAATAAAGGTTAAATAAAATAAATTGAAAAGAAATAAAAGCAAAACTCTTCAGGGTTGACACGATTACTGAGTGAAGACTTTTTGTTAGCTGATTTCGGAGTCAGTAAATTATTAAAATAATGCAAGCACATAGTTATAAGCAGGTACTTAAAAGTAAAATTTCATTTCTACAACATGTTGAGATAATATCTCAACATATCAGTGGTGTATTCTGTCTTTTAATGAGCAAAATGAGACTTTAAGCAGGCTGAATAGAATGCAGCCAAAACTTCTCTGTTTTATGACTTTCTACCTATATATATCACTGCAACTAGGTGGATATACTAGCAGCCTTTCAAAAACACCCTACATTCTACCCATTCAGTTTTGAAATAAGAAAAAAAAAGTTTTACAGCAACAGCTTTATCACGCAGCAAAATAGAAATTAATACTGTTCCTAGCAATGTTCATTTCTGATCAACCATAGCAGTGACGATTAAATAAAAGTAGTTTGAATAAAACTCTAATTCTTAATGTGGGTGAAGGTTGCACAGGGAGGAAAAAGTTGAAATAGAATGCACTGTCATCACAATGTTCACTGCAACGGTAAATGGAAAGGACAAGGTAAAAAGAAACACACTTGTTAAAAACGGTTTGAAAATGCAAGGTGAGAAAAAATGGAAATAAAAAAAGGGAATTACATATTTAAATGTCTGAGAGAGAGAGCTTTTTATAATCTGATTGTTTAATTGTGGTTTTAAAATCTGCATTTTAAAGTGGGATATGAAAATACATGTTTTAAATTACATTTAATAATAAATTATTGAATAATGAGAAGTCTTGGCTGTATTCTATTCAGGCATCCTGTCAACTGTTTAAAGTCTTTTATTTAGTAATGAATTACAAAATACAATTTCTAACCCTTCAAAAACTAAACTGAAATGGTTGTATTTCTTTTTACGTAATTCTCGTGGTATTCCGTATAAACCAACTCCATCTCAGTAAAGTCTGAGGTAGAGCTCTACAGCTAACAGCCCCTGCAATGCTGGTGGAAAATTGTGAGAACATGTTTTGCATCAAACCCTGCGGAAGTACAGAACATTGCTCTGGCAGGTTGTGTTTGGTATGAACAACTCTGCTCTGTGACAATTTTAGACTCAAATAAGAAAAATGACAGCATAGAAAATACATTTTGAAAAAAAAATTCCATTTGACTTTAAATAAGGAGAATTCCTACAATGTATAAAATCCTCACAAAAGAATATTTTATTTGAAAACTTGCAATTCAAATTTCTAATCTGCAATTTTTCTAAGACTGTAGATTTTCCGAGACACTGAATATGTTATAAGGTAGTCATGCAATATGTGCGTCCGACAGACTATATTGATCTTTTTTCTGATGATTTAAGTTATGAATAATGGGAAATTAAAAACTGACAAAAAGCCACTTTGTTGTGTGTATCAAGATTAGTTTCTCCTGCCATGCGAGTTTGAGTGATCAAAATTAAGATCTAAATAGGATAACACCACCAAGCTTGCACTTTCATTCTCTGGTTCACCACTTAGTTTCTTTCATGATCAACAACTGCAAAGAAAAACATCTGGCCAAAGGTGACCCATCACCTCTTTAATGAAACTCATGAAGCGTCCTCCGAATCTCCAGGGCTTGTGTCGGTGGCACTGCAGTGAGTTCACAGTCATCTGTGGAGCGTGCTGGTATGAGACGGATACAATGTGAACTGCATCATAGGTCAGAGCTGCATCTGTCTGGAATAAGGGGTGAACGTTATTTAAGCTGGTGGATTTTGAAAATATTAATCACACGGATAAGACATTAAAAATAGGTTTCAACACAGACACTACCAAGGGTGTAAGTTAGCAGATTGTTCAAAGGCACGTTTATTAAACTGCATGATATATTTTACCTGTTTAAAATTTAAAGAGGGGACTAACATTAATTGCTTTTTATTAGGTACTTGGGGCAGCAGTGCTGCTTCTAGACTGCTGCCAGTAAAGAGGTATAATAAAGAGGTACCACATAATTGAATTTTAAGATTATTAAATATACTTATATTGAATTTATACCTCAAATATTAGCATTTTCTGATAGCTTTTTACAAAATCTAAAATATTTTGGCGGGATACAGTTATGCAAATGACAATTATGTCCCTAGTTGTCAAGCATCATGCTGTCATTAGCAACAGCAATCTGTATGTACAGATGCATTGTATATTATTCTATTTGCATTTTTATTTACAGTTTGTTGTTTGTTTTTGTTAAATAGACCTGTGTCTGTGATAAAATTAAAAGATACTTTTACATTTCTTTGACAGGAGTACTGTTTGATTTTCTTTTACATTGTAAGGTATAGCAATCATATTCTTTAACTAAGGAACTGAGTCTGTGCAGTCAACTTTTTTGTTATAGACAAATAAAGAAATAAAAAAGCAAAAAACTGGCTTGCAAATGGCTTGTAAACATTTCAAAAGCCTGTTTTAAGAAAACTTCTGTTTACAACCCCAGAAATCTCAGATTGATTATACATTGTATGCTCTAACACATGGCAAATGTAATATGAAACTCAAAATTATAACTGATTCATGGAGCAATGTTGTCAATGCTGCAACTGTGACTGTTTCTCTTTTCTGTGTTTGTTTTTGTTGTTAGATACCAGCAGTCATTGTTGCACATAGGATCTTTCAGGTTGGATGTCAACCTCTGCTGTAGACTATTTGAAGACTAATTATTCAAATAATAGAGAATCAGCATTTTTACATAAATTACAAATAATTTAAACATTCAAATCTGAAGTATATTGTGTCTGTCTCACTTGATGATAGTGTGGTGTTTTGTCTTCTTTATACTGCTGAACTGATATTAAGAAATACCTTCTGGGCTATACCTAAATGTAATATACTGTAAGCAACATTGTCTGCAACATTGTCTCCCTAAACACTTTATCATAAGCTACCTATTGTGACACAAAAAATATATCAGTGCACTAGCAAGGATACAGTCACTATCCAAGAACCTAGACAGAAATATTACGAGTTCAGGTAGAACTTTTCTTTTCTGCAGTTGTCCATTTCAATAATCTTTTTTTTTATTTTGTAATCAGTATTTATTTACATGTTTGATCAATTTTTTTTTTTTTTTTTTACTCAAAACCACAAAAGAATTTTCATAGTTTCCATATTACAATTAAAACATACAATTATACAATTCTTGCCCATTTGAATAGATAATAGAAAATGTGTATACTTAAAAAAAGCATTTATTGTCTATATAATGATTTATTAACTTAGGAAATGTCAGTTTAGCAATTTCGCATTCACAACTTCATACCATTTATTTTTAGACATAATCACTAAATTCTACATATACAGTATGTGTATAATTAATTATGTATGTTTGTATTTGTTAAATTTGTAATATTATTGTATTTTCTGAAATAAAATAATTCACTTATTAAACCTGACTTTAAAAGTGAAGAAGTAAAAAATCTATATTTATACCGTCATGATGCCCTCCAGGAGGCCTGAATCCGGTTTAGGTGGGATCTGCCTTTCCATTGACCATTTCTCCACAATCGACGCAACCTGGGGATTATCCACATTGAGGATGCGAAAGCCAGTCATGTTGACACCACAGAAGCGATATGGCTCAAGGTCAATGGCCATCAGGTCCTTTTGAGAAAAAGAAATTAAAGATCTTTATCTAGCCAGATACCACTTGGGTTGGATGTATATATTCTGTATTAGTTGTTGCAAGAAAAATAGATTTAGACAGCATCAAATTAGAATTAAGAAATAAATATTTAAGCCGTTTATTAGAAATCATATCTGAGAGAGCACAAGTTAGAAAACATGGTTAATGTGCTCAGGTTCTCATAAAAAAATATGTTGTCTTTCTGTCTGTAGAAATAAACTAAATTGCTATGCAATGAGCATCTCATGCATTTTGTCTTTTTTTAATCAAAGTTTTGAAGAAAAAAAAAGGGCTGTTTTTTTTAGGGGTGGCATATTATTATTTATTTGCTTTAATTTGAAAAATTAAAGAAAAAGAGCAAACAATGCTTTTTGTTTGATATTAATATTCAGCTCTTGCATTGCCTTTGCATGTTCTATGATAATAAAAAGGAATTTAGAATAAGCTTTTCCTATTTCTGGGGCAGCTATTGTCGCTGACGTGTGAATTCACATGTTGACACATGTCGTGTAAAATTGGGCCGGAGGGCTAGGAAAAGACATTTGGATGAACATAGATATTTCATTAGCACCCTGTGGGGTTAGTGCTGGGGGACTAAGAGCATGTAAGACATTCACTCAAGAACGGTCATTTTACCCTCTGATAAAGCTCTCTTTTTCCTTTATCTGGAATGCAGTTCAGTTTTTCCTAACTTTAAAAAAGAATCCATGCAAATTACTGCAGCTGCAAGCACTAGAAATATAAATATGAAGTTAAAATGTTAGCTTAATATTTCTGTCTTTATTTAAAAAATTAGGACGATAAAATAAAATAAAATAAATAAAAAAGCTTACACTCTTCTGTATTAGGAGAGCAATTCTGCATTATTACAGCAAATGAATATGAAATATGTTTTCCTAAATGACAGACTTAAAAAACTATCACTGAACATACCATTTTTTAAATAGAAATTACGATGCATTACAAACTACCACACAAACCTAACACTCATTGAAATCAGGAGGGGAGAATATTATGGTTTGGGGCTGTTTTTCAGTACATGGTACTCATTTGATGTATATAGAGCAGGCGATGACCTACTTTATTTCAAGTAAGATATAAAGGAATAAAAAGAAGAACAGATTGCATAGAGGAGAATACCAGCATCTTCAAGAATAAAATACATTTTGCATGTAAAGTTCGATTACATTTACACCTGGGAAACAATAGTTTTTTCAAAGGGAAAACATACATTTTTTCACAAATATTAATATTAGAGTATTAATAGATTTCAGAAAGCATGCTCAATCCTCATTCAGACTGTCATTAAGGTCTACCATAATTAATTTATCTTAGGATATAAGTTGCTTGGATTTTTTAGTAAGCATGGATTACTGAGATACTGTTGATACCAACATCTGGTGTTAATGTCTTCCTCTATTGAACTATTAAAATTATATTTAGGAAGAAAATGGTGTGACCATAATATAAATTATTTTTACATAAAAAGCCAGAAAAAAACATACAAAAAAACACTTTCACTGCAGAAGTCCACACACACACACACACACACACACACACACACACACACACACACACACACACACACACACACACACACACAACACAAACTTAATATGATCCTAGATTTGACTAAAACAAAAAGGATGCTGAAGGTTAAGATGCTGCAGATCTTTGAGTGTATGCAAACGTGTTACAGTAAGGAGAATGATAACTAAGTCCTTTGTTTAAAGCTCTATAAGATCGCTGTGGCAAGGCAGAAGCTATGACAGTCTCATTTCAGAGGACAAGGAAGTTATTACCCCCATAACTGTGAGCTTTTGCCTTTTCACGCTCTAATAAGTCGACACTTCTCTCACCTCTGAAGATGAAACATAGACATCAGTAAATTCCACGGAGAGGCAATTGTATTGCCATGTACTCCATGCAAGTATTCATTACTCTGGATCAAATACTGTTGCCATAAAATCTTCTTATTGCAATATCTACCAGTATGACAACATATTGCAGTTTTAGTTAGGTACAAAACTGATTCTATCAATATATCCATGAAAAATACTGTTGCAAAAAAAAAAAAAAAGAATTAAACAAATTATAATAAATGAGCTGTAATGCTGCTGAACATACAGCAAATATTTTTCAGATTAGCATATTGAAGCAAAATAGATGCTACTTGAACATGACATACAGCATAACAAAGTCATTGGTACGCTGTCAGCTGTGAGAAATGACACACATCATAACTGGACCCCTGTGTCAGAACGTGTTATTACAAGAGAATGGCCATGCCTGCAGAGACAGTGAGGGTGAGCATTCAAGAGAGTCAGGAGACAAAGACAGTAACCGGGGGTGAAAGAAACAGCACAGAGCATGCTGGTACGCATTCTCTTCAATCTGCTTGTTCCCAGATATGAAGGGTAATAGTGAAAACAATCACACTACAAACTCTTATACTGAGCCCCTGTAGATTAAAAATGTTAAAAGATGAGAAGGTCAATGTTATAAAGACCATTTTAAGTTGTTTGCATCATCAAAAATAAAGTATTGAAAAAAAAACTTGCTAAGCTTTGGGTTGATCTGTAATCATTTTTATATTAAAGACTATGGTGCTAGCTGTCAGATAAAGCAAGTCTTTGTAGATAAATATTTATAGAGAGTGTGCATCTACTTCAGTTTTGTTTTAATAGATCCCAGGGCAGCCTTTTATACATTTCATCATAATTACAGGTAGTTACGACTTAACTACACTAAGTGAATTTCTTCTTTGTGAGATCAATAAATTCCTGTCTTATCTTTTTACTTTTACTGAAATAATATTACCACTCTTACATGAGTCCGAGTAAGTTCAATATAAAGAACAAATGTGCTTTAAAAAATAAATGAACATACACACATATTATTTAAAAGAGAGATTTTTTTTGTATACAAGCTTCATTAATCTAATGGTATTTTCAATTTGTTCGATCCGCTTTACCTTTAGGAAGTCAAATAAAAATACAGAAGAAATATATTATTATAGATTTTTTCAGACTGTAAGATGACAGATTTTTTTAACATAATTTCAAAGTTTCATCTGTCTGCTTAAATGTGTACCTAAAGAAAGATATTTGACCATATCCCTCGTGGTGCTCTGTGTGGGGAGTTCCAGGAGTGAGGACTTAGGAGCCCTTTAATAGGGGGCATCCAGGCTTTATACCAGGGAGCAAGAGTTTGATATGCATTATCAGCATCAAGTCAGACCTGCTCCCAGTGCATGTAGATCCTGATCTTGATAAACTAATTGATAGACTGAAAATGTTTGTGGGGTTGTCTGGTACTGTGTCTTATAGGTTAAAACACAGGGAACCCAGTTTTAACATGTCCCATTAAACAAAACACATCAAGTGAATTTATGATGTTTGGTTCCTTAAAGGCTAAAATTTTGTTTCAATGTTATTAAAAATCTCTATTCTTCCTTACAAAGTGTTTGCTAATTCACAACTGTATTATTCCTGACTATGATCACGGCAGCTTATGTTGACGTATTGACATGTGTTTCCCAACCTTTTTTGACTTGTGTAGCCCTTTTGGTAATTTTTTCATACCATAAGTACCCCTCTCAGTCAAAAGTAATAATGATTGTCCAAAAGTGGAACATACAATAATTGATTATAAAATAAAAAAAAATTAAAAAACACTTTACTTAATCTTTTAAATTGTAAATTTAATTTGTAGCAATTTAATGTTTCCATGTTGGGAATCACTGATCTACAACCTCAGTTTTATTCTGGTTAAGACATCTACTGTAGCATAACATTTTAAAATGTTATATTATGACACAGGTAATTTTGTGCAAACCAAAAAAACCTTGTAATCCATATAAGGAACTATACAAGTCATATTCACTCAGTTTCCATGTTTAGCCTCAGATTAAAAATACATATTTGTAGTCTCCCCTGTAAATAATGCATGCATTGTTGGGAGCATTTATTTCACATTTCAATACATTTTACTTTTTTAATCTTGTATTTTTGTTATTTAACTTGTTTTCATTTCCTGAAATAATATATCTCTGAGTGCCACAAGAAATTCTTAATCTGGGTCCTTTGTTCTGGAATATTTCAAAGACAGCCACATGAAGCAGTGTTTACCATCGGAAAACCTGGGACTCCTATATGCCTTCTGATTGTCAAACAAAATTGATGTTATGGACTGGTTCCAAACTCCTTTGGCAATTAGCCACTATTCATCAAAAACTCGAGCAGAGAAGAGATGAGAACAAACGAGACTATTTGCATTAACAAGCATGGTGCATTACCAGAGTGGTGAAGATATAGTGGTAATACTCTGTCATCATCCCCATGGTCTGGGCCTGGAAGGATACAGAAAAAAGAGAATGGGAATTAAAGGTGTAAATGAAGAGAGCTAGGGTGAAGAAACTGATAATTTTCTCACTTGAGAGTATTTAAGACTCCAAACAGCATCTTCAAAACAAGCAGTTGCATATATATCTTTAAAAAGGGTAATCAATAATAGAGAAATTTCTCATGGTTTATTGAGTTTATGAATTTACATTATATTGTTTTCTAAGATCTGCTACCACTTGCTTATTTTTCTAAACCATATGCAATCTACATATTTTTTCAAGTACTTACAGGTCCTTAATTATTTTATTTTGCATTTAAACTGGTCACAAATGGTTTTTGGCATTTCATGAAAAAAATCCTTCAGTCAAAAGAGCACAGTAATATTCACAATATATCCAAACACTTTATCACCGCAACTTGTTTAACTGGTTTACATTTGAATTGGCAATGCATTCCATGTGACTGTGTCTTTTCCAGTTTACTGTACCTAGATGTTGTGAAAAAATAATCAAACCTGGTTTATTGTTATAACACGGTGTTTGGTCCTGTGGAGTAGTGCTTCGTACTTAGCCAAAGATTGCAGGACTTTTTTGGAAGCGTTGGTCGGGAGTGTGTTGTGTTACGGTTGGTGGGGTTTTTTAAGGGCGTTGGTTTTGTCTGGTGTAGTGCAGACGAATTTCGTGGGTTGGTGTTGTTGTACTGGTATGTTGACTAGCCGGGTCACACTCTGGTGGATCTCGGTGAGTTATGTGTGGAGTTGGCAGGGTGATACCGCTGTTATAAAAGTTGTTAGTGTGGGTTTGATTTGCTGGGTGTGGTAGGGGGGTAGTCTAGATTGGGGGGAGGGGGGGGTGGGGGGGGGGGGGGGGGGGGGGGGGGGTCGGGGGGGTGGGGGGGGGGGGGGCGGGGGGGGGTGGCGGGGGATGGGGGGGTGTTTGGGGGTGGGGGGGTGCGGGGGGGGGGGGGGGGGGGGGGGGGGGGCGGGGCGGGGGGGGGGTGGGGGGGGGGGGGGGGGGAGGAGGGGGGGGTGGGGGGGGGGGGTGGGGGGCGGGTATTTGTTTTTTTTTTTTTTTTTGTCTCTTTTTTTTTTTTTTTTTTTGTTTGGTGTTCAATTACAACCTTTCATCAAGAGCCTCTCTTGTTAAACCTTTATGGCATAACTGTACTTACAGGAAAAAAAAATCCTAGGGAATATAAACTATGGCAAACTCGACAATTTTGCAGAGACCGTTGAACAATATTGTTGACGTCGCATGCTATAGTGTATTTATGTTATGGGGTGGTTTTGTTGTATGT